GTACTGGAGTGGGTCGCCAAGCATCAAGTGTGTACAAAGAGCAAGTACAGAGCAGGCCTTCAGCAGCTCTAGTGTAGTAGCTATCACTCTGGCTGAACACCTGCCATAACAATGCTCAGAGACACCCCATCAATGTTTGCTGAGCAGAGAGAAAGATGCCGGGATCCTCTGCCAGGACTCCAGCCAGACTGCACACAGACCTCTGCAGGGTTACAAGCTGGCTTCCTCCTCTAGAAACAGTGTTCACTGGGGCAGATACTGCCCTCTGTCCGCCTCAGTTCTTCTCTACCCCCTTCTTCCTCCCTAACCCAACTCATCTTTGCTCTGGGCAGCCTTGTTTTCAGCTCAAACTACATTTCCCAGGCTCCCTTGCAGCTATCTTGACTAAAGGCTGCCACCTTGGTCCCTGAGATGCAAATACAAGTTGCTTTCTGGAAATTCCTTCTAGAAATTGGGGCTTTCTGGAAACTCTTTGTAAAAAGAGGCAGGCCAGCTGTCACCCTCCTGCCTGGAGCACAGACACAGTGCTGGAGGTTGGGGAGCTACCTTGTGGGCAATGCATGCACACACAAGAACTGCTGTCCTAGCCCCCACTGCTCACCCCTGGACCATTTGTTATGTGGTGAGGCCATTGTGGTCTCGTCTTTGTTGCAGGCAGGCAGACCTAATCCCTGATGTCTACACCCCTGTCTGCAGGAACCACCATGACCACCCCTATTTTGGAGATGTATATTGACTAATAGCCTATAAAGTCCCGCAGCAACCCCATAACAAACACAGTTGGGTCCCAATTTCATCCCTTGTCCTTGCCACTCCAAGGGGCACACTGGCCAGCCTTCCAACCTTAGCCTTCCCTGCCCTAGGCTCTCCTCGTCTCCTGTGTTCCCCATGTCATCTGCATAGCAGGCAGGAAGGAAAAGGAATTAACCCCTCCCAGAAGTCATCCTCTAGCAGAGTCTGAGGGGGGTTGGTGGATAACTACCCCCATTTCCCAGGCCACTGAGTGGGATGCTGTCAGGTGTGTGTCCCACCCTGGCTCCCAGAATTTCCCCAGGGGCCCAGCCACAGTATCTTGCTTGGACAATGTGCCCCCTCGAGTCTGTCCTCCCCTCCCTGTTTCACTTCCCCACTCCTCTACCTGGGGTTACCTCCCAAACAACCTGCTTGCCTGCAGGTCAGCTTCTGGGGTCTGGCTGTATTACTTCATCTTCACCCCACCCCTTGTGGTTGATGGGCAGCGCTAGTGTCCTTCTAATTCAGTAGAGGAAACCAAAATGTACGTGTACCATGGAGACTCACCATGAGAGGGAGGGGCGGGTATAGGCTCAGGGATGCTTGGCATGAGGGCTCTGAGAGCAGGTGTGTGTGGTACTCACTTTCTGTGCTTGCAGAGGCAGACACATTCCACCAACATCTTCCCAGATCAAAGCTGCTCAACTTACAATTCCTGGGAGCAGTACTTACAGGGCAGATACTGCCAAGCCCGAGACAAAAAGACAGACTGAGTCTGTTGTGCAAACACACACATGCGCATGATTTATTTTCTTCTGGGTCAATAGACAGCTCTCCTGACTCATCCTTGCTGTCCCATCCTCAAGGCCCCAGGATCCTCCACTCTTCTTCCACTGAGGGAGATGGCTCTTTGGAAGCTAACCTCTGTGCACCTGGGATGCATCCTGGGGTCCCCACTGGTGAAAGGTGGGCACTGCTTTACGCTGCAGAGTTGGGAAGGGAGAGAAGACAGTTTATTACCAGGAAAAAGCTGTGGAGCCCAAGGGCCTCTTCAGATGGAGCCCAATCCATGTCTGCTCTGCTTATCCCAGATGCTCCTGGAGAGACAACTGTGTCCTAGATGGAGAAGTGGGACAGGGTCCTGGAAGAGGGGGCCCTGAGAGGAGGGCCTGCCTGCTACCCCACGCACACAGCTCAGGCTCAGATAGGATGGCTGAGTCACATCATGCTGCATGCGTGCTTAGTCGTGTCCAACTCTTTGTGAACCCATGGACTTAGCCTACCAGGCTCCTCTGTCCAGGGAATTTTCCAAGCAAGAATGTACTGGAGTGGGTTGCCATTTCCTTCTCCAGGGGATCATCCTGACCCAGGGATCGAACCCCTATCTCCCATGTCTCCTGCACTGGCAGGCGGATTCTTTCCCACAGGGCCACCTGGGAAGCAGATCACACGATGAGCCTTGATTTACTCCGTATTGTCACCCTCTGAGACCCAGGGTTCTGTGAGGTCATAAAACTCGAATTTCTGGCTTCTCAGCACTGATCCCTGGGCTCAAAGGACATCTTGGGATGGAGTGAACTGAGTGGGTTGAGGGGAACTTCAGGAAGTAGAGAGTACCGAATTGCAGGAGCAGAGAAGCAGCTGAACCTGCAAAACTGCTTCCTGGACATTACCTGACACCAGCTGCATTGACAAATTTGGAGCCAATGATCAAGAAACATTGTCTGAAAGCTGACCTTCTTTCATGTTATACTGTACCCTGTATACACACTACACAGGCACCACATGCCATGCCTTCCATCATGCCTTCCCTGGGAAGGACACCCATGTGAACACACCTCGACATTAACCAACCCCCGCAGCATCTTTCATCTGTTCCCCAGAGTTGCCGGTATCATGACTGCAGTAAGAGGATCCAATTCACAAGGTGAGGAAGAGGCCACAGGGCGGGAGAAAGAATAGGGGCCCATGGGCTTATCAAGACTGGATATCACGACTGCAGTAAGAGGATCCAATTCACAAGGTGAGGAAGAGGCCACAGGGCGGGAGAAAGAATAGGGGCCCATGGGCTTATCAAGACTGGAGAACACGCCTCCCACCTGCTTCCCGCATCCAGCTGGAACCTGAGCCTGGGCAACCCTTCTCCCTTAGGAGCACTCACCACCTGGCACCTCTCCCTCCCTAAATCTCACTTGTCTAATTGATTCTTGGGACATGGCTGCCAGGTTGCTGGATTGGGGCGAGGAGAGTGAGGCAGGTCCTAGGCAGTTAGGCGCCCTTGGACAGTGGCTGTGTACCAATCTATCTGGCAGATTTCAATACTTTCAGACCCGTTACCACCTGACTGGTGCATTCATTACTGGCTAACCACCAGCATGGTGCCAGCGAGAAACAGCTAGACTTGTTCACTGACAGCTTGTCTGTTTCCTATGAATGGGACGGCACCCCAGTCCCCTGCTGATTCACACTGAAGTGGGGGACACCTGGGGTTTCACCATCACGGTGAAGCAGTGACTCCAGAACACACCACATCAGGTACCGGGTGGAGCGCTCACCCCTGGCACCTCTCCCTCCCTAAATCTCACTTGTCTAATCAATTCTTGGGACAGGGCTGCCAGGTTGCTGGATTGGGGCAAGGAGAGTGGGGCAGGTCCTAGGCAGTGAGGGGCCCTTGGACAGTGGCTGTGCACCTTCTCTTCTTCCTTCCCTCCCCTTCTCCTCCCCATCCTTGCTTGAGAGCATCTGCCCCGGCCTGATTCCATGGGGATTTTGATACTTACATGTTGTTGTTGTTCAGTGGTGTCCCACTCTGCAGGCCAGGCAAATGCTCTCAAGCAAGGATGGGGAGGAGAGGAAAACAGACGGAAGAAGGGGAGGGGCCTCCAAGCTCCTGAAGCAGCAGGACCTGCTCCATGCCTCTCATTGCCAGGACCCTTGGCCTTGAGGCTTAGCTATTTATGGAGCAGGGATACTACAGCTTGTACCTGATGTGATGTGTTCTGGAGTCACTGTTTCACTATGATGGTGAAACCCCATGTGTCCCCCACCTTAGTGTGAAATAGCAGGGGACTGGCGTGCCGTCCCATTCATAGGAAACAGATAAGCTGTCGATGAACAAGTCCAGCTGTTTCTCACCGGCACGGCTGGTGGTTAGCCAGTAATGCACCAGTGAGGTGGTACCAGGTCTGAAAGTATTGAAATCTGCCAGACTGATTGGTACACAGCCACTGTCCTAGGGCCCCTAAGTGCCTGGGAACTGCCCCCTTCCCCTTGCCTCATTATAACAACATGGCAGCCATGTCCCGAGAAGTTTCCCCTTGTTAATGACTTTTACCACCACCTTGGGTTTCCCAGGTGGTGCTAGTGGTAAAGAACCTGCTTGCCAATGCAGGAGACATAAGAGACATGGGTTCAATCCTTGCGTCCGGAAGATCTCCGGGAGGAGGGCATGGTAACCCACTCCAGTATTCTTGCCTGGAGAACCCCATGGACAGAGGAGCCTGGTGGGCTACAGTCCATGGGGTTGCAGAGCTGGACACAACTGCAGTGACTTAGGACACATCACTCACCACCACGTCATTCATAAACAGAAAATGGCAAGATGTGAACAGTAAAAACTTCTAGGGAAGGGATTGGGCAGAGGTGTGGGGAGTGAAGAAGGATGTTCGCATTTTATGTTCCTCCAAACAGTCATGTTTAGATATTTATAATGAAGTGGTACTCATGACATTTTCTTCAGAGAAGGGTGTAGGCACCAGGCCTGCATGAGACACAGCCATGAACACGCTCTGTGCCCTCCCTCACCTCTCCGCACGGGGTAGACCTCTGGGCCCTTCTTTGTCTCAGGAGTTTGGGACTGTCCTCTTGGGTCCTTCCTCTATCAAGTCCTTCTAGAAGCCCACCTTCCACAGATAGGGAACTGCCTCATCCCTGAGTGCCCACAGCATCTTGTCCATGGGGGGCAGCTCTCCTCTGGGACACATTGCACCCCAACAGTCTAGTGACTGAGGGTCTGTCCAGGCAGTTAGAGCTGGAGGCCAGGGGCTTCTCCATATTTTCATCCCCTGGAAGCACCCAGATCAGGGGCTGACCCCCAGTGGGTGCTGGACTTAGGATGACAATATCACCATTCATCACCAAGACTGGATATGCTGGCCATGCAAGATGTAGGCTAAGTGAAGAAATGAGGAATGCAGGCATGACTAAGTGAATGGACAGGAATTTCTGGGCCTCAGTTTCACGGACCAGTGAGGACCTGGAGGAAGCACGTGTGAGGCCAGACGAGGGGGAGAGGGTCTGCCCCGGACGGCAGGCTCACCCATGTCCATTACTCGCAGGCCGAAGTGGGACAGCATGATGACCGTGTTCAGGTTCTCAAACTCCTTCTCCAGGACGACCCCGTAGGTCTTCAGGCCGGCCAGCTCCACCTCCAGCCGCTGCTGTCGGTTCTGAGAGGAACACCAAGGTGTTTGTATGGCTAGCCCCAAAACTTTCCAATGGAATGAACGAATGAATGAATAGCTGAATGAATGAGTAAATAAACAAGTGAATAAATAAGTACATAACTATGCATCTAAGTGAGGAAGTAAATAAATGAACCAATAAATAAGTACATAATTATAAGGAAATAAGTACACATGTAAATAAATAGGCACCAAGTGAATAAGTAATCAAATAAGCAAACAATTAGACAAAAAGGGTCTTGCAGCTGCTCTTGTAAGGCACACACAGAAGCCATGAACATAGTCAATCTCCCCTCCCTGAGTCCAAGGAATAAACAGCTGTCCCACTGACAGCGAACCACCCCCTTGTTAAAAATACTACTTGGGGCCGGACTCTTCATATCTCTCAGTATCTCACCTGCCTGCCAGCCCAGGTGGTGTCCCTGCCTCCTATTATATAAGTAGGCCTGGGGCGTGAGCTCCCTGAGGGTCAGGGAGCTGCCCCATCCCCACGGCCAGGGAGAGGAGCCCAGACCCACGGCTGGGCCTGATTTCCGAGTTGGTCCTTCTCGGTCTCCCATCTGCAGGGTCCCCAGCCAGGATGCCCCGGGATGGGGCAGCCCCAGGGTGAGGGCAGGATTTGCAGATAAAGTGTGACTGTGAGCCAGGCCCTCAGCCCCTCTCAACATCCCTGGAAAGGTAGATGTGGTTGTCCTCCTCTAAGACGTGGGCTGGGAGCTCAGCGAGCCGCTCTGCTAAGAAAGGCCCGGACCGTAAGGGACACCCCCTCCCAGCCCCACGGTTCACACCCTCCCCACTGGCTAGGCTGCTGAGCCAGGGGCCCTGGCTGGGCTGACAGCCAGGGACCTGCGTCAGGTGGGCCATCGCACAATAACTGGGGTGTTCCCTTTTATTTTATTGCTTTAAACACTCACTGTTCTTTAATAAACTACACTCAAAGGAGTGTGGAAACCAGGGGGCCCAACATGGGCAGCAGACCAGGGACATGCAGAAATAGCAGGCCAGATGCCACAGGGCAGCACGGATGGCCACGGAGCCTTGAGTGAAGCCAGCAGGCAGCACAAGAAGGCCCACGGCACGATTTCTGCACCTCGGAAATACTCTGTATTTTACAGACAGACACTCCGTATTTTACAAAAATATGCAACAAGTGTGCTCTAGCAGGAACTGTGCGGAGGGAAGCAGCACTGTGGCTTTTAATGTGTTCTTTTAATCCGACCACGTGGTCTTCCTCTCCAGCTTCCTGACCCACCAGGCCAGGCCCTGAGCTGAGCAGCGGGCTACAGAGATGGGGACTGGCTGCTTCCCTCTGGAGCGCCTCACCTGGAACTCCAGCAGCTGCCTCTGCAGGGCCTCCTGCTCCGCTTGCGCTCTTTCTAGAGTCTTCCTCAGCTCTCTGAGCTCAGATTCTCTGACTGGGAGGAAGGCAGAGAGAAGGCCGTCTTTATCTGTTCCTTTCCATCCAAAACCTCCCCTTTTCTTTGATTCACACCTCACATGGGCAGTATTTGGGACCCTAATAAGTGCAGGTGGCCTCAAAACCCTTTTAAATAGAGTTAATTTTGTCCCTTGATAACAGAAAGGACAACTATCCATTGGAGGAAATGTGGCAAATACAAAAAGGAATAAAGAAAAACACCCTCCTCTTGCCTGCCAGAGATAACCATTGTTAACATTTGCATGGATTCACACATGCATAGTTTTATATAGTTGAGATCATAAGGAAGTTATGAAGAACATGGGTCTTGAAACCCAAGGACTTGGATTTAAATCTCAGCTCACTATCTGTGCAACCACGCACAAGTTACTCAACCTCTCTGTGCACACTTTTCTTATCTTTAAAAGGAGGTGATACTATAACCGACCTCACAGTACCTTTATGACAATTAAAAGGTAGTTAGTATAAACTTCTGACCTGTACCTGGCTCACTGGAAGCCCTCAGTTATTTCCCATCTAATTATCTTTATTTATTGCTATTCTCCTAATGTAAATACCAACCTTTCATTTTTCCCACTTAATATCACAATATAACCTATTAGGTAGGCTATTCTTCCTATGATTATAAAACCCTCCGTCACCAAAGTTACTAGCGAGTGGTGGAACTTGACTACTCACTTTGCAGAAGCTTAAAAATGAACTTTTGCAAGAAACACAAGTCAAATGAAGCAAAACCCTTCTCAGGAATCAGGCCTCCGAGAAGAAGCGGGTCAGGATACTCGGCTTCCTCCTCTGAATCCCCTTTGTTCAAATTCTGACCTTCCTCTCCTTCCAGAAGCTCCAGGTGCTTCAAGCACTCAGCAGAGTCTTTTTCAAATTTCCCTAAAAAAGCAAAGAAACCCCATCTCAAAGGTCAGCCCCTGAGCACAAGATGAGTGGCTCTCTTGGACCTGGCCCTCTCTCCAGATGTGGGCAAGTCCGTCCGTCCTGAGCCCCCCTCCCTGTGCCAGGTCCCCAGATGTAAAAGAAGAATGCACTGGGACTGGTGCCGAGTGGAGGCCAGCTGGCAGACTTCCTGGAGGAGGGGGTCCTTGACTGAGACCAGTATCTTTTTTCCAAACAATTTTGAGATCTAATTCACATACCATATAATTTACCCACTAAAAGGGTATAATTCAATGGCTTTTAGTATATTCTAAAATATTTAGTATATTTAGTATATACGTGCAATCACTACAACAATCATTTTTAGAATATATTCATCACCACCCCAAGAAAATCTTGGTTCCTTTCAGCCATCACCTCCCATCCCCCACCACTCCCTCAACCCTGTGCTATGTGTCATAGCACATATGTGCTAAGTCACTTCAGTTGTGCTTGACTCTTTGTGACCCCATGGACTGCAGCCCGCCAGGCTTCTCTGTCCATGGAGTTTTCCAGGGAAGAATACTGGAGTGGGTTGCCATGCCTTCCTCTAGGAGATCTTCCCAACCCAGGAATCGAATCCGCATCTCTTATGTCTCCCTCATTAGGCAGGCAGGTTCTTTACCACTAGCATCACCTGGGAAGCCCCAACCCTAGGCAGCCATTTGTCTGCTTTCTGTCTCTACAAATTTCCATATACTGGACATTTCATATATAGGAAATCCTACAATATGTGGTCCTTTGGACTGGATTTTTAACTTACCATGTTTTCAAGGATCATCTATGTTACAGCACAAATCAGTACCTCACTCCTTTTCATGGCTGAATAATATTCCACTGCACGGAGGGACCACATTTTGTTTATTCATTCATCAGTTGATGGATGTTTGGATTGCTTCCACCTTGGGGCTACTATGAACAATGTTGTTACGCACATCCATAGTGTTGTGTGAACATACATTTTCAGCTCTCTTAGGTACATACCTAGGGGTGGAATTGCTGGATCCTCTATTGGGTGGGCCAAAAGTTCATTCGGGTTTCTCAGTAACATCTTATGGAAAAAACTGAACAAACTTTTTCACCAACTCAATAGTAACTTTATGCTTAACCTTTTGAAGAACTGTCAGACTACATCCCGAAGTGGCTGCCCCACTTGACATTCCCACCGGCAGTGAATCAGGGCTACAATTCCTCCCCATCTTCTCCAAAACCTGCCATTATTCACCTTTTTGTTGGGACTTTGGAGGGTGAACAGGAGGGAGACCAGGTGCACAGAGCGGGGAAAACCATGCCTGGGGAAGGGCAGCTTAAGGGGAGAGACGAGGAGACTGCAGAGGACAGAGCTATGGGGACCACTAGCAGTGTGAGATTCCTGGGAGCTAAGTGGGGTAGGGAACTGGTCCGCTTATCCGCTACAGCCCCAAGCTCATAATAATAACAGTAGACCCCAGCGTGTGCCGAGCATCACAGAATTATCTTGTTTCCTTACAGCAGCCCCTTGAGGTCAGTAGTATTATCATTATTCCCAATTTTGCACTTGAAAAAGAGAAGGCAGTGGGTAGAAAATTCAACCAAGGTGATAAAGGCAGTAAGTGGCAGAGGGGGGCTGCAAACTGTGGTCATTCGTGGTGACAGGGCTCTGCCCACCTAAGATATCACAAAGGCAGGATGCCCAGTGTCATCACAGAAAGGAGACAGCAAGAATTAAACCCCCAGAGCCCCCTGTGGAGGCAGAAGGCACCCTAGTGGTTGCCCAGAAATGGGGCGTGACTGCTCACGGGTACAGCGCTGTCTGGGCTGATGGAAATGTTGTAAACTTAACTGCAGTAGTGGTTGCACATATCTGGGAATATACGGAAAACCACTCGCAGTGGGTGCGTTTTATGATGTGTGAATTAGATCCCAGTAACACGGTTAAAACAATGAGCTCTGGGCCCTGGCTTCCCATCTGTGCCACACCCTGGTTTTGGTGAGAGGAAAGAAAGAGCTGGGGAGGAGACAGCCTCTTCTAGGGCTGGAGCAGGCGATTCCTGGGCTTACACTCGCCTCGAAGGGCAGCGTGAACGACGTGAGATCCAGCTCCAAAGGGACTCATGGCTTATGCCCCCTCCCATCAGCACTGAGACTCAGAGACCCAGAGACTCAGACAGTGCAGCTGCCCGAGACCCTTCTTTAAGGCAATATCACAGCAGTAAAGGCAGACGTGGAAATGCTCTCGAGAGCTTGACTGTTAACATAAAACTTGCAGGCTGTTTAGAGGGAACCCTGAGCGAGGTGTGCCCATGTCTGTTTCCCTTTAAATAACTTTAGAGGTCCTCAGAGAGTTACACAGAATCAGAGCCACATGTATCTACAGCCTCACGTCTCCCAGCACATGATTTTATAGATTTTGAAATGAGCCGTAATCCTCTCCAGCGGGTAATTTACACGGTATAACTCTAGGTATCTGAGCTCATGCATTATACTCAATTACAAGTAATGAGATGCATTTTCACCTTCACTGCCATTATTCACCTTCAACAAGACATTACTGAAGATAGTTTATTGCCTTACAAACCCCAGATGAAGGTCAGCCTCCTGTAGATCTGTGCATTCCTTCATCAAATGTCTATCGAGAATCTACTATGAGCAAGAGATATGTCCTAAACCACATGGCTCCCTCCTTCCAGGACAGTAGACGTGTGTGTGTGTCTATGTGGGTGTGTCTGTGTGTGTCAGCATGTCTGTGTGTAAGCGTGTCTTGTGTCTCTGCATGCATGTGCACACGTGTGTACACGGTGATGGAACAGTAGAAGAGGAAGATAATTTCTAACCAAAGGGTACATGCTGGAGGCTCAGGAGCACCCCTTCCCCCCAAGTTTGGGACCAGGAACAACCTTCCTAGGGGAGGTGGCATCTCAGGGGCACCAAGTGGGCATGAGGCTCTGCTGTCCATCCTCGGAAGAGCCCTGTGAGGCGAGCAGTTCATCCTTATGTTACAGATGTGGTAGTGGAAGCAGAGAGAGGTTAAGTGATTAGCCCCAGGCCACTCAGCAAGCAGGGTGCAGAAAAGAGGCTTAAGTCAGATCTATTTCTGTTTTAACAACAGTAAAGAATAGGCGGGAGAAAATTCACCCCCTAGTTCTGCACCTGACATGATGGTTGAGGATCTTTCCTAGTCCAGAGCACCCCTCTGACTTTATGTAGTTCCAACCATTGCAGGGTCTCTGTCTTCTGTGAGTCTCCTTTCACTTCAGTGCAAGACTTTTAATGCATCTTTCAGTGCATCTTTTAATGGAAAGATGTTGTATTAATCCACATACTTCAGTTTCTTTGGGACAGAGCTCTGCCTTATTCTTTCTGTGTCCCTAGCACCTGGCTCAGTGCCAGGAGGGAATAAGTACCCATGAGTTATTTGTTGAACATATTCATTCATTTATGCTTCTATAGATACACAGTGAGTACTGGCTATGAGTGTCAGGCAAGGCTCTAGATCCAGGGGATAATGCAGTGACTAAAACGGACAATAAATCCCCAAACATGAGGGGCTTGTATGCTGGTGGGAGACAGCAAACAATAACAAAGATGGACAAATGAAAGAGGCCGTTAGGAGATGATGGAATCAGGGAGAGAGAGAAAGCTGGAGAAGGGGACAGGGAGGGGCAGGAGGTGTGCAGCAAGGCCAGGGCTGGTATCCTGGGGAAAGTGAAGTCGCTCAGTCATGTCCGACTCTTTGTGACCCCATGGTCTGTAGCCCACCAGGCTCCTCTGTCCATGGGATTTTCCAGGCAAGAATACTGGAGTGGGTTGCCATTTCCTTCTCCAGGGGATCTTCCTGACCCAGGGATTGAACCTGGATCTCCCGTATTGTAGGCAGACGCAGCCTCCTGGGGAAGAGGTCAGTTAAACAAGACAAAGATCAAGGGGAGAGGCGAGCCTTGCAGGGATAGGCTGAGTGCTACGGGCAGAGAGGGTGCTGTGCTCAGGCCTGGAGGCCACACGGGGCAGCAGAAGGTCTGGGAGCCATTAATGAGCTGCGGGGTTCCGGGAGGTTCTAAGGCCACTGAGGGGCGGGGTCAGAGCAGGAGGGCCCTTGGCAATTAAGAGGCAAGTCTATCTGCGCTTCCTGGGAAGACCCACTCCCCTCCCACACACCTACCTAGCATTAAGAGTGTTTGAATAGACCCTGCCTTAAAATTAAACTTAAATGACAAGGAGTCTCTGGGCTGTGGGCTGGTGAACTCCCAGCACAGATGGAGTCAAGGTTTGCCTTGCCGCATTAAGCTGGCTGAACTTCCCTACTGGCTCAGCGGTAAAGAATCCACCTGCCAGCGCAGATGTGGGTTTGATCCCTGGGGTGGGAAGATCCCCTGGAGAAGGAAACAGCTTCAGTTCAGTTTAGTTCAGTCATTCAGTCATGTCTGACTCTGCGACCCTACAGACAGCAGCACGCCAGGCCTCCCTGTCCATCACCAACTCCCGGAGCTTACTCAAACTCGTGTCCATTGAGTTGGTGATGGCCTCCAACCATCTCATCCTCTGTCATCCCCTTCTCCTCCTGCCCTCAATCTTTCCCAGCATCAGGGTCTTTTCCAAGGAGTCAACTCTTCGCATCAGGTGGCCAAAGTATTGGCATCAGGTAGCCAAAGAAATGGCTACCCACTCCAGTATTCTTGTCTGGGAAATCTCATGGACAGAGGAGCCTGGTGGGCTACAGTCCATGGGGTGGCAAAGAGTCAGACATGACTGAGCAACTAAACAACAGCTGAGCTGGTTACCTGTGAGGTTCTGCAGGTGCTGCTTCCCCAGCAGGTGCTCCCTCTTGTTATGCAGGGAACTGAAGAACTGCCTGCAGGTCCGACAGTACAGGTCATCGTTCTCATCGCCCTGTGGACAGAGGGAGTTCCTGGTGAGCAGGGGGGAGGCACAGGGATCCTGCCTTCTCCAAACGTAAGTGTTAAAGTGTTAGTCGCTCAGTTGTGTCTGACTCTTTGCAACCCTACGGACTGTAGCCCACCAGGTTCCTCTGTCCATGGGATTCTCCAGGCAAGAATACTAGAGTGCATTGCCAATCCCTTCCTAGGGGATCTTCCCAACCCAGGGATTGAATCCAGGTCTCCTACACTGCAGGAAGACTTTTTATCAACTGAGTCACTACGGAAGCCCCCTCTTTGAACATAAAATTAGCTTAAAATGGCAGATGGGCTTCAGGTGGGTCCAGCCGGGTCCAGCTAGTCCCTTTTCCACCTGTGAAATAACTGGCTGGTTTGGGGCTTTTCTGAGCACAGCTGAGAATTTCAATTCATCCCAAGGTCTGTGTCACTGGGTGGAAGAGAGAATACTAGGAATGTGGCAAAGAGGGTACAACAGGGAGTGTTTGAGAATTGGTGGTTATAGAGGGATAGCAATTAGCCACGATAGTGGTGGTCAGGCTCTCTGGCCCTATGTCCTTTCCATCTCACCCTACATCCTGTAAACAATGACTCTGCATGGTTATGTAACGGCTGAGATCATCCATAGCACTGTGCACATTCATCATGATACAATTGCTTGGCCACCTGCCACCTTTGTTCATGTATACTTATATAAGCACCACCCGGAACATCCCTTGCTGCTGCATCAGCCATGAGTGAACAGAGCACGTCTGCAGTTCCTACAGTTCCTTGAATTTTCTTCCAGCTTCCCTGCACACATCTTGCCTACCTTGAGTTCATCGATTAGTGAGACAGTGGTATTATCTGAGTCCACGACCAATTCTGAGTTTTTCATATGTTCAGAGTTTACTTCGCAATCCTGAACAAACTCTAAATGACTAAATGACAAAGATGTGTCTTTTTATCAAAACACATATGCACCAACCTGTAGGTGCTTGCCTATCCATGGGCCACTTCTGGAAGATGCACCAGAAACTGGTCATAGTGGACACCTGAGGATGCAGGGACAGGTTGGGTGAGGGAGGGACTGGGTCTCTGGCTGAGCAGAAACCCACCTTGTACTGTAAACCTCTGTGCACTGTTTGCATTTTTAAAACCAGGCACATGTATTATTTTTAACAGAAAAATAATTTTAAAAGAGGTATACATATTTGATTACATGTATTAATTCAGAGATATAAAAACTTGCCAAGATCTGACAAGAGATGGGTCCTAGCACAGGCCTGAAGTGTCAGCTCTTAACATCCTCTCATAATCAAGCTTTGAGCTACATAAGGTTATGAGGAAGGCCAGCCTCAGACTACCAGGTGCTGGACTAAGGTCATAGGGTGGGTAAGGAAAAAAAATGAGGTTCTGGAACAGCATGGTCCCTGCTGGCATTCATCCACGGCGTGTGGGGAAAATGGTAGTGATGTGAGCCCGGCAGGGAGACAGAGGCCAAGTCACGGCAGGCACTGGGAGTCAGCACAGGCTCCAGGGAGAGGATGGTCGGGCTGGTGGGGGAGTAGCTGGATGTACACAGCAGGCCCCTCCAGTGGGAGGGGCTGCTGGGTGGGGAAGGGAAACTCCACTCACGTGGCTCCTGCCATAGTGGCTCCAGCCTGGGTCACAGAGGGGCTGGCCTTTCCAGGTGGACAATTAACTCAGGAAGTCCTTTGCCCTCTGAGTCTCAAATCATCGTCTAATGATAAAGAATGTTATACTTAAAACAATGTTTAAAGTTATTATGAATGCATGTTGAAAGTAATAGAAAAGGGATGCATAAAAAGTCGAAGGTATCCAACATCCCATTTCTACTCACTGTAGGCAAGAGCTTCTTGGGTAGCCTTCCAGAAAGTTTTGATATAAACTCATTTGTGTGTGTCTGTGCTTAGTCACTCAGTCTGACTGTTTGTGACCCTATGGACTGTAGCCCACCAGGCTCCCCTGTCCAAGGAATTTTCCAGGCAAGAATACTGGAATGGGTTGCCAATTCCTATTCCAGGGGATCTTCCTGACCAGGGATGGAACCCACATCTCTTGAGTCTTCTGCATTGGCAGGCGGCTTCTTTACCACGGCGCTACCTGGGAAGCCCCATAAATGCATCTGTCTGGCCCGTTAAGATTTACTTTCAGTTGTTCTTCATTTGTTAAATATCTATATCATTACTTAAAACTCAAAGGGGAAGTGCCTACGAATTACATCTTAGCTTGGGCATCTGACAATCCAGGTCCCAACACCCTGTCCTTGACCCTATAACACACATTGTCTGCTCCAGGCGTCCAGAACTGTTCACAGTTCCCCACATGCCCTGAGCTGCTTCCCATCCCCAGGCCTCTGCACGTCCTGTTCCCTAGCCTAGAGCTCCCGCTTTGCTTCATTTCCATCTGGCCAGCATTTTCTCCAGGAATTTCCCATTTCCTCTTCAGGAGCATCATCTCAGAATCACCTGCCCTGGGACTGGCCCAGACAGCCTCGGGCGGGGTCCCTCTCGTTGTGCATGCATCCCGATCACAGCAGATCCTAGTGTTGTGTATTGCACACTTACCAGTTCGCCCTGGACAGGAGTCATGGGGCCGTGCTTCACCCACTTCTGCATCCTGAGTCTGCTGCCCCGCCTCCCACTGAGCTGGGCTTCATACATACTTGTCCAAGGAACCTCAAAGAAAGGCCTCCACGAGGGACTGATGTGTGAGCCACACTCCAGCGATGCACGAACCCCTGTGCCCAGATGCTTTGTTTCCTGGGCTGCCATAAGCAAGTTCCACCAACTGAGTGGCTTAGAATAACAGAAGTTCACTCTCACAGTTCCAGAGGCCAGCAGTCTGAAATCAACCTGACTAGTCCAACATTTTGATGTGGGCAGGGCCTAGTTCCCCCTGGAGGTTCTGGGAGAAGCTGTTCTTACCTCTTCCAGCCTCTTGGGGTGGTTGATGCCTTCCTTAGCTTGGGGCCACATCACTCCAATCTCTGCCAGTGGTCATGTGGCCTCCTCCTCTTTGGTGTCAAATCTCCCTCCATCTCCCTCTTGTAAGGACACTTACGACCACATAATTGTCATTCAGTTGCTAAGTCATACCCAACCCTTTGCGACCCCATGCCAGGCTTCCCTGTCCTTCACTGTCTCCCGGAGTTTGCTCAAATTCATGTCCATTGAGTCGGTGATGCTATCTGACCCTCTCATCCTCTGCATAATGCCCCTCTCTTAAGATCCTTAACTTAATCACAACTTCAAGGACTTCCCTGGTTTTTCCTATATAAGGTAACATTCACAGGCCCCAGGAATTAGAATTCAGATCTCCTTTGGGAGGCACTGTTTCTCAGGGGCCCACACCAAATGAGGCTGATTAGTTTAAAACCACACTCCCCCAGTACTTACATCAACTGCCAAGAAGTCAAGGGCTTTGCCCTCAAATTCATGTCCTGGCACACTTGTTCCTGATAGAAAAACAAACGGTATCATTTTACAAAGCACCTTTGTCAGAATAGGCCTCAGCCGTGCTGGGAGAGAATCAATTCAAGGGTCAGAGGTGCCTTCTGAGGATGAAAACACTTATCCTAAGAGGTCTCCATGTTTCCTGCTGGAGAGTCAGTACTTGACTTCAGTTGCTCAATTTCTGGTTGATTCATGTTGATACATGGCAGAAACCAATACAATATTGTAAAGAAATTATCCTTCAATTAAAAATCAATTAATTAAAAACCTCAGGGAAAACGCGTAAAAATTTTTTTAAAAAAGAGGTCTTAAAATACCTTATTATAAACCAAGAAGAAACACCAGATACCTCTGATTTCAATTTATAATAAACAGCTAGCCAGGTACGAAATGAAGATTAAAGAGAAACAAGGAGAAATAGAAACAACTCATTTTTTATTAGCATGGCAGAATCTAGGTGGTCTTTTAAAAAATTGTTCATTATAATTATTAAATTTTTATATAGTAAACTTAAAAAATATACTGTGCTTGCAATAAGGCAGAAATACATCTTGTTTAAAATCCAAGTTCTCTTGGAGTAGCCTTTCCTTGTAACATGGCAACTAGTCATGTGATGATAATCTACAAATAACCACAAAAATAAGAAGGCAATAGGAGACCAACATGGCTGAAAAATGAAACAAGATGAGGTGTTCTCTGCTAAGTCTGACAAATGGCATTTTTAGGGAGAAATACATGAACAGAGAATGACAACTGCCCTCTGGGGATCCTTAGCTAGAGGTCTCAGGGCATGATCTGCTTAACTTTGCACATGAGGGCCAGAGGCTTCACAACTCCCTTGGAACCATCCAACACCCCACTTTGTTAATGCCAATTATAAGCTAGACCAGTAGTTTTTAGAGGATTATTTTTATCTGGAGGTGCTTCACTGTAAACAAATATTAAGTGGAAACACAAGAAGTACAATGGACCAGAGTAGAACTGTCTGTGGACCAACCCGGCCCTCTGCTTGTTTTTGTAAATAAAGTTTTATTGGCACACAGTCTCACCCATTTGTTAACATATTGTCTATGGATCCTTTCCTGCTACAACCATAGAGTTCAGTGGTTGCAACAGAGACCATGGCACCCATAAAGAGTAAAGCATTTACTATCTAGTCTGGATATTACTATCTGGATGGTAAAGCATTTACCATCCAGATCCCTGCTCTGGATGAAGCTATGGTGGGGGGCTCGTGCCCCAGAACAAAGGGTACAAAGCATGAATATTTGCTGAACTCACTATATGCCAAGCTCCTATGGTTTAACTTGCTCAATGAGCACCAGGCCTGATGCTGGGACCTGGGAAGTCCTATCACAGCCCCACTTTCCATATGAGGAAACTGAGGCCCTGAATGCTTTAATGATTTGGGCAAGGTGACAGAGCCAGGATTTGACCCCAGGCATTTGGCCCACGGAGCCCACACCCGACCACTATGGAGACGGTGCTCTGCCAGGCTCAGGTGGAAAGGAGAAGCAGCAAAGTGGAGAACTGACAGGTTCTGTTGGGATGCTGGTCAGCCCCTAGAACGGGGAATGCAGCAAGAACCCTTAGGAGGGACAGTGATGAGCCCTGGTGAGAACGCCCAGTGCTGCTCTAGGTCATGGGCCCCTTGGTGGGGAACGTGTCACAAGTAGGGTGGAGTTCCTGTCTCTGCATTAGGCCTGCACCCCTCAGAGGCACACTACAGGATTTTGGTGCAAGCATTTTTTTTTTTTTTGCACAGTGATCCCAGGAAATGCTGGTAGAGGAGAGAGGAAGTGGGTCAGGGGGGAGGGGAAAGCCAATCGTGCATGGGCCGGGTGGGGCTGGCGCTCGCTGAGCCGAGGCCGTCAACAGGGCGCAGTCCCACCAGGAGCCTCCAGGGGGCGCATGGGACACACTCCAGCAAGGCGGGTAGGGGCGACTTGAGGTCTTTATCCGCCGTTGTTGCCCTTCTTGTGTGCGCTGGTTTAGGGATGTTCAGTGTCTTACTTCCCGGCACATCAGGCATCACTCAGGCTGGGCAAGGCTGAGTGCCTACGCCAGCAGCATGGACTGAATCAGGCGTGTGTTGGAAATGCAGACCCCAGACCTGCTGGGTCAGAACCTGCCTTTTAAAAGGCCTCGGGGTGATCCAGGGCACTTAACTGTTCCATAACTGTGGGTTCCTTTCCTCCTCCCAAGGATTAAAATGGAATCACTGGCCCAGCATCACTCTGACATTCCCCAGGAGGAGGAGGGAGTGCGGTGCCTCCTCCGTAACCAGGTACAAGGTGCCTCAAACCCCCCGAAAAAGAGCCACAAAGGGATGATGCCAGCTGCTTTGTGTGGGGGCATGGCTCCTTCCCCTCCTCCAGTTTTGCTCAGGTATAATTGACAAATTAAAAAATGTCTATACTTCAAGTGTTCAAAGCAGATGACTGGATATAGTATACCTTACCCCAATCAAGTTAACTAACAAGCACATCCTTCATTTCACATAGTCTTCTTTTCTGTGTCTGTGGTGAGAGCACCTGTGATCTTGCTGTTTAGTCACTAAGTCTCTTTTGTGACCCCATCGACTGTAGCCCACCAGGCTCCTCTGTCCATGGAATTCTCCAGGCAAGAACACTGGAGTGAGTTGCCATTTCCTCCTGCAGGGGATCTTCCTGACCCAGGGATCGAACCTGTATTTCCTGAGTGGGTACTTAGAATCTACTCTCAGCAAATCCAGTACACAATGGGGAAAGGACAGTCTCGTCAATAAATGATGTTGGGAAAACTGGATAACCACATGCAAAAGAATGAAACTGGACACATCTTACACCACACACAAAAATGAAATGGATTAAAGACTTGAATGTAAGACCTGAAGCTGAAGAAAAACTCCTAAGAAAACATCAGGAAAAAGCTCCTAGACACCAGTCTTGGCAATGGTGTTTTGGATAGCACACCAAAAGCACAGCGACAAAAGCAAAAAATAAACAAGTTAGGACTATATCAAACTAAAAGGCTTCTGCGCCGCACACTCCAATGAAAAGGCAACCTACGAAATGGGAGAAGACATCTGCAAACCGTACATCTCCCAGGGGGTTAATACCCCAAATACATAGGGATGTGAATGTTGACAGAGGCTGGGACTAACACAGAGGGCTCTCCAAACCCTCCATCTGCGGCGGAACATCTCATAGCCCCGAGCCTGGGAGACAGCAGCTGCAGCCCACCCTGGCCGGGCTCACTCACCGCACAGCGCCTGCACCTTGAGCTCGGTCTGCCTCCGCAGGAAGGCTCGGTAAGCCTCAGAGTTCTGGTAGGCCTGCAGCTCGCGGATGTAGCGCTGCTTGTCCTCATCCGCCTCACAGACATACCTCTGGAAGAAGGAGCACAGAGATCCTGTGAGACTCTCCTCATCTGGAGGGGGCCGGTGGCGTCCCCTTGTCCAACTTGCCTTGGTCTCTCTAGGATGGTACCAAGAAGCTAGTTATTGCTCATCTTCTACTTGCATACCTCCAGGGATGGAAACCTCACTACCTAACAGCAAGTTCACGCCTCGTTCGAATGACACAGACCATACAGAAGGCCTTCCTTCCAATCAACTAGAACCCGCCTCCCTGTGGCTTTCACCACAACTGGTGTGGTCTAATGACTGCAGGGGATGGTAGCACTATCAGTGGCCCCCCACTCCCACTGTGGGACCTTACACTTCTATTCAATTATGGCAGTGCTTAAGACATCAGGGCTTAACTTTGTGCAGGGTGCTGGGTGGAGAATAGGTGATAAAGAGAGGAATCAGATCCAGCCCCAGGCTACCTCATCTACTGTTGTTTTCCCTCCATCTGGAACACTTGTCTCAGCTTTCCTCCCCTGGCCAAATCTTACTCATCCTTCAAGATCTATCACAGAACATTCAGATCCTGGAGAATCTTTCTCTGATGCCCCCAAGTTGGCTCAGGCACCCCCACATTGGATTAGATGCCTCCTGGACACCACCCCCCGGCCCTGGTAGAAACCTCTGTCCCAGACACTCCTCACCCTGGATTGTATGTGTCCACTTTGGGGGTCCTGGCCCCCTAGACTATGAACTCCTTGAAAGCAGGGACTTGGACTCACCTTCAGCCACAGATGCTGGCACCAACTGGTGTAACCCAGGGACTGGTGTGTGTGTGTGTGTGTGTGTGTGTGTGTGTAGCCAAAATTCACTCTAAGAATGCTTGTCAAGTAGTTATTATTCACAGTGAATAATATTTTATGCACCTGGTAATTTGAAATAAATTATCATGTTAAGCAAAAAGCTTAAAGCACTGATGTGTTGACCTGGGAGCTTCCCAGGTGGCACTAGTGGTAAAGAACCCACTTGCCAGTGCAGGAGATTAAGAGATTTGGCTTCAATCCCTGGATCAGGAAGATCCTCTCAAGGAGGGCATGGCAACCCACTCCAATATTCTTGCCTGGGGAATCCTATGCACAGAGGAGCCTGGCCCTATGGTTCATAGGGTCACAAAGAGCTGGGCACGACTGAAGTGACAGCACACGCAGGTTGAACTGGTCCTAACAAAGTATGGAGCTGAGCATGGCCTCTTTCCTCGGGCTTCTGGAGCCCCTTTCCACTGGGCACGTGGTGCGCGGCCTCTGTCCCTTCCTTCAGGGACTTGACTCTACCAAGGAGACAGCTGGCAATGCTGGAGCAGGACTTTTCAAACTATGACTTGGAGGAGCTCCAGACACAGCAGCTGGGGCAGGGGGAGAGGGAAGGATTTCTGAAATCATGAAAGTAGCTCAGAGACTCCCTAAAATCTTGGATCAGAGGTTCTGCCCCTCCCTGACCCATAAGAGCTATCCTATGCTTTGTAATCACCATGCTTATTCCAAAGACAATTGTCATTTTTGTCTCAGCCGCTCAGACTGGAATGTTGGCAGCTTAAGCCACTTGACAGGTGGGGACTAACCCTAACCATCTTCACCCAACTTAACCATGGTGGTTTTGCTTTCATTTCTTTTACATGTTAGCAGGGGTGTGTGGTGAGAACATTTCTTCCCCATTCCTGATGTTTCCTTCTGTAAGCGGGGAGCTTAATCCTGCTGGCCTCTCCAGGATCACCCTCCCCTCCAGGTGGGAGGAGGGGCTTGTCGAAGGGTAAATTGGGAGCCAGAACCAGAGATGCTCTGTGGAGCCCCTCCTCTCTCCTCCCCTGAGACCTGATGGAGACAGACAGCAGGGCCCCAGGCTGCTCTTGGCCAGAGTCAGAGGCCTGCCCTGACTGTGATGGCCAGGGCTTGTCCAACTGCCTGACTGGCTACTGGAACTACTTCCTGAGTGGTGGCAGATCTGAGTAGCAAAGGGAGGGATGCTATTAATTGATACCATGCTCTCAAATTAGGATTTCTCTGTAATAGTTCATTTGAACCAAAGGTTTTCTATGGCAAAAGTTGGAAGTGCAGGGGTTAAAGAAGCTCATCTCAGAGTTTTTGCATTTGACCCAAAGAAATGACACTTTGGAGGCCGCAGGCTGTTCTGGGAAAAATATGGGCTTTGGGGTCAGACATACTTAGAAGAGTTTGGGAGGGCTTCTTGTAGGAGGTGATGCCACAGCAGGCATGGCTTGATCAGGGTGACTGGAATGTAGTGGGGACAAGGTGGCAGAAGTTGACATTGGACATAAATGCCGTGATAAAAGCATGACTCTACCCTCTAACTTGGTGTTGCTTCCTCTGTGACACCAGAACATACTGCCATAGGAGGTTAACAGGAGCTCTCTGCATAAGGGGTTCCAGGGTGGATTTGTTTGAGAAAGCCTTTCACGAGAGGTGGCAGAGATTCTCGTGCCCTAGCGTGCTGTTCTCCATCTCTCCCTCCACACCTCATTCCAGGAGAACATGGACCTCATCTGAAATATTTTAAGTGAATCAAATTATACCAAAAGGCTCCAAAAAAGCCCTGCAGAGGGAAAAATCTATTTCCCTTGATCTGCTCCAGAATTTCCTAAACTTACTGTACAATTTAGCCATCTTTCATGGATTCACCATTCTGCCTGACAGTTTGGGAGACAGTGGATGCCAAAGCCGCAGGGACCAGTAATTGCTTTTAAGGGTGAGGTGGGAGGCACCGCGTGCCTACCTTCTGGAACATTCCCTCTGGCTCCTGTATGAAAAGATGGCCCGGGGAGAGCAGCCCCTAATCGAGGCTGCAGACAGCCAGACCCAGTTCTCTGTCCACTCCACGCAGAAGAAGACTTACTTGCTTTTTCTCTTGTGGGAGCTGAGCCCACTGAGCAGCCAGCATCTTCGTGATTTCCGGGAAAGGCAGATTGGGGTGCTGGGCCCTCAGCTGGCTCCTCTGTTCGTTCAGGAATATCACGTAACTGCACCGGGAATGGGACATACACAACAGTGCTGAGCTACTGCTGGAGGGGAGGCCCTGGGGCCTGCTGCAGCGACTCCCATTTTCAGGTTTTCATGAAAATCAATAGTCATGAGTTTGCCTATATGTTTCATTCTAACCAGTAAAATGGGTGCTATTTGAAGATGGGGAAAAATACTCAAATGGCTGGCTTATCCAGAGACTGATGGAAGACTTAAGAGGGATTCCACCCCTCCCCCCAGCCATGGGAAAGGCATGAAGACTGGGTGGGCAGCTTGCTCAAGCCTACTTGAGCCTCAGTTTCCCCCCCTGTGTTATGGACATAATATCACCTGTTCATGGGGTTGCTGTGTGGCTCAGATGCTCCAGGTACAAGCTCTCCCACCCGCCTGACGAGGGATTTTTGTCAAGGCAGAGGGAGAAAGTCTGCAGGTGTTGGAGTGAGACAAACCAGTCTTTGGACCAAAAGCCATATGCACTGGAGTTATGGGAAAACTGAGAAAAGAACTTCACCCTTTGAAACATGTGAACCTTGAGGATAAAGAGAAAAACACTCAAGTTTCCAGAAGAGTCAGGTGACCCTCAAAGCAGTGGGAAGTGACTGTCCTTGGGCCTCTTTTCTGCGGCCCAAGATGCCAGGGGGTGAGGGACAGGTCTCAGGACACTCGGGGGTTGCACTTTAAGCCTTGATGAATGATCACTAGCTCACCCAAAGCCATGGAGCCCCAGGTATCACAAGCCTGGAAGGAAAACCAGACACATTGGCCCCACAGTCACCCACTTTCCTGTCTGTGACTCAAGCCCAGCTCTCCTTTGGATATCAGAACCTTATTCCAGCTTAAAGAACTAAACAACCTTCTCTCGCTCCCTGTGGTGTGAGACCCCATAACAATCAAGGGTCCTGAACAACAGATAAAGGCTGAGAAGGGACAGAGGCCATCCAGGCTTGGCACATAGCGCAGGCCATGTGGAGAGCCCAAAATGTTACCTTAACAGTGGGTCAGGTGATCTCCCCATCTTACCCTGTCGTAGGAGCACGGGGAACAGCAAGATCCTTCGGGGGTTTCCTTTTCTTGCCTTTAGGCCAACCTCCTTTCCTTTTCTGAAAGAGTAATACACAGGAAGACCTCAGGATTGTCAACAATGATTGACCATATTTGAATCACAGTCCATAATATGGCAACACACTAAAGAGTCCTCGCCACACTCGCCCCACGTGGCCTCTGACCTCCTGGCATCTCTGCAGAGAGATGGTCATGCCCCGAAGATGAGGGAACCGAGGCTTGGAGGAATTCAGTCACTGCCTGGGTGTCCCCAGCAGGTGCAGGAGCCGGGGATGTTCCCTCCCATCGTGTTATGACCAAATGTGCCTAGTAGCTCAGATGTGCCCAACTCTTTTCGACCCCATGGACCCCATGGACCCCAGGCTCCTCTGTCCACGGGGATTCTCCAGGCTAGAATATTGGAGTGGGTTGCCATGCCCTCCTCTGGGGAATCTTCCCAATGCAGGGATTGAATCCAGGTCTCCCACATCACAGGCAGATTCTTTACCATCTGAGCTACCAGGGAAGCCCAATCACCAGGAAGCATATGGCCATGTGATTGGGCACACAAGAAAGCAACATGAGGTTTGGGTGACTAGGTTCAAGGTGAGGGGGTGGGGATGGGGCCAGGCCTTGGTATTGGAGGCAGGGTGTTAACCTCTGAGCTTGACTAGCTCAGCCTAGGTTCCCATCTCAGCTCTGCCACTTCTCTGTCATGTGACCTCAGGCAAATTAGTAACATCCCTGTGCCTCTGTTTCCCCACTTGTAAAATGGGACTCATAATAGCCTGAACCTTGTGGGCTGTAATGACGATTAAACGTGGAAACAATCATGTAGTTCTTACAGCAGAGCCAGGCATGCAGTAGGTGCTCACTAAATGCACGCTGTCAAGGTCACATGCAGAGCCCCTCCTCTGGCAGCCAGTTCCCAGGAGGGAGACCCAAGCTGCAGCTCTCTCCTCTGTGGAGTGTGTTTCTTGGTTCATCAACAGTGCCTGCACCCTTGCTGCCACTGGGATCCTGGGCCATGTTTGGAGGCTAGAGGGCTGAATAAGATGCAGGCCTGGCCCTCAAGTGCCTCAGTCTGATGGAGGAGGTCTGGGGCATATAAATAATGGCAACAACTCATTTCAGGGACTAAGGGTTACAGAATGACAGTCTGGACACCCTTGCATTCAGGGCTCAGTTTCAAGTTTTCCATAAACCAAACACACACAGGTGCCAAAAATGGTGGCAAATAATCCAAATGTGGCCTAAAAACCTCTGTTTCAGCTTTCCAGTTTTCCAAACTCCCTCCCAGACGTGCCCATTTCAGCCTGGAGATACACAGCGCCAGGAGATACACAGCTGGCCAGTGACCCAGCAGGTTGGCTGGGAGAGGATCTGATACCACCAGAGCCAGGCCACATGTGTTGGGGGCCACAGGACAGAGGAGGTCGGGGCAGCGCCTGGCACTGGGGACTCAAGGAACAAGAACACAGAGTTCAGGCCATGCAGAAGCAAACAGCCAGGCTAGTTACCACCCATGTTAGAGAGAGAATTCTACAGAGCACCTAGCAAGGCACCAGGCATGCAGCAGGTGCACAATAAATGACACTCTCCTTTGCTCACTCCCACGTGATTGATCCCCGGAGTCAGAAAGGGAATGACAAGTCTTTCAGGACCCTGGAGAGCTCCCACATCCTGTGGTCAGCATTGATTTCTGGTAATAAAAGCTGAAACCTATCTCTACAGTCTGGTTCACCAGGAACTTTCCAACACACATGTTCCTGAATTTGAGTCTCACATTGCCTGCTCAAAGGAACTCTTTTAATCACCCCACAACACAGGAAGACTCTCAGAAAGATGACGTGACTTGGCCAGGCTGAGAGTCAGAGCACACCACGGCTTCTGTTAGAGCTGTGCCTTCTGAGCGAGACCCCCACAGCTGCCTGGAGTCACATGAGAGGCAGACCAGGTCACCTGTGCCCTGCATCACAGCGGCCTCCTCCTGTCTGCCTGCTCGGCTCCTCTGCTGAAGGACACAGGGAAAGTTGTTTGTTTTTAACTGGAGGAAACACTTTCATATATTTATTGTTACTTCTCTGTATTCGAGTTTTATAAATCAAAAATCAAAATAAAAGTGCTTATCATTTTACTGCCATCCTCGGCCCGTTGTTTCAGCTTCTTTATTCAAAGAAAATTCTTCCTGAGTGTTTTCTGTGTTTGTCCAGAAACCATAGTTACAGAGACAAAGACACTTGGAAAGGCTGCAGGGATGTTTTTCTCTGAAGCTTTTTTGTTCTTGCTGAATTTCTCACACAGGATTTAAACCAAATTGACTCTGCCCTAAATAGAGCCACGTCCACAGTGAGCTGATCATTAGCACCGGGTGTTACTACATGGAGAACATTTCCCACACACTTGAGTACGTTAGTTTAAAAGGAAAAGCAGAAGTAGAACATGGCTGAGCAAGGAAAGAGATTGCAAAAAAGTGCAGTCGGCCGGAGAGCAGATCAATGGATGCGCAAAATTCAAGGGGGAAATAAAATCCATCTCAGTAGGATTCTTGACCAGCATGGATCTTTCATGTTCAGATTGCAATAGACAGTGAATTTTGGATATTTGGTTTTACACACCAAATTTTCTTTTACAAAGAAAATGTCCATTGGGAGTCAGCAGGGTGTAGCAGAAGGTACAGTGTGAGGGCTTGAGGGACAGGCTGAGTCCCTAGATCGGGCACACCATGAACCTGAGACCGCTTTGCCTGTGCAGCTCCTAACCAACACAACAAAAGGTAGCACTACAGTAGGTGAGCTGACGTTTGTAAAGGGCCAGGACATCTCAGCATGCAACAGGGTTCAATGCACGTGTTCTTATTACCTATAAGGTAGAAAAAACTCAGGAACATACCAATGAACCGGATTCTACAAGGCAATTGAGCAGGTCTCAAGGAGAAGAATATTTTCCTGTATGTAACTAATCATGTCAATCATTTGGGAACCAGACCAACCTCAGTTGATGACTATAATCATGTTAGAAAAAGGATCTTGGCCCTGGTGGCTTTACAACTCGCCCAGAAAAGTCCTGGTGATTTTCATGTGGGCAGAGTTTTGTTGAGGGCATGCAGCATCCCCCACCCTCACCTGAATGCTGAAGATGTTTGTTACAAGATGTTATCTGCATCACATGTTTAGATACCACAAGAAAAGGTACACTGTCAAAGGCTGGCTTGCTACCTTTAGATACCATGGTCCTAACTTAAAATTCTAGTTCATTCACCTCTGCAAACCCATGGACCTTAGCCCACCAGACTTCTGTTCATGGAATTTTCCAGGCAAGAATACTGTAGTGGGGTTGCCATTTCCTTCTCCAGGGGATCTTCCCAACCTAGGGATTGGACCCATATCTCTTGCATCTCCTGCATCGGCAGGTGGATTCTTTGCTACTGAGCCACCTTGGAAGCCCAAATTACTATTATCTGGGGAGTTTTCGTTATGTGAAGCTGAGCCTGATCCTAACTGGTGCAGGGTACTGCCTCTTTTTAGTATTTCTCAGCAGACCTGGTTATCTCTTGCTGTACTTTCACAATAATAAAGTAAAAAGAAAAAGAAAAAATATTTTGTTGTGCACCCATTATGGACAAGACCTTTCAGTATGCGATAGTTGTTTAGTCTTTAGAAATTCCTTTGAAGTAGGTAATGTTTAGGCCTTTCCTGGTGGCTCAGGGGTAAAGAATCTGCCTGCAATGCAGGAGATACGGGTTCAATCCCTGGATCAAGATCTCCTGGAAGAGGGCATGGCAACCTACTCTAGTATTCTTGCCTGGAGAATCCCATGGACAGAGGAGACTGGCGGGTTACAGTCCATGGATTGCAAAGACTCAGACACGACTGAGCATGCACTCAAATAATGTTATCCCTGTTTCACCAGAAAGTAACTGAGTCTTGAAGAGTTAATACACCTTGTGCAAAGTGTCACAGCTCGAAGATGGCAGAGCCATGCTTCCAATACCCATCTGTCTGCCTCCCAAGCCCACCTTCTTCCCACTTAGCCACCACTTAACCACCACGGTGCCTTCCATGCCAACACTCACCAACTGCCTTTCCCGAACAGAAAATGGACTAGGTCATGCCCCAGGAAAGAACTGCTCACCTCACCCCAGAACCTTCACCAAACCCCCAAGTTTCCTGGAGTAGTCAGGCTCAGGAGCCAAACTCTTCAAGGTCAAATCCTGCTCTGCCGATTCCTGAGTGATGCTGAGCAGGTTCCTAACTTCTCTGTGCTTTGCGGTGCTGTGCAGGTTTGAGAAAATAATGCCCAGGAGTGCCGCCCAGAACCTGGAGCACAGAGCATGTTTAACACACAGGTGTGATCACTCGTGTTATGATGCCACAACGCCGTAGCAAGGGAGGCCCTCCAAGCCTGGCCTGGACCGCACTTGCCTTTGGTTCCTCTGAGTCCTGCTCCTTTGGGTCCCCCGGGTCAGTCAGCATAATGTGCGGCGTGGGCAGAGATGCCAGGTCCCGGCAGGAGGTCTGGACCACAGAGCTCCTGGGTAGTAGGCTGCCTGTTCCACTTGGAGGTGGGAAAAGGAATTCTGTGGGCACTAAAACAGCAAAAAACAGCCACATAAGGTCTGAGATACGGAAATCACCATCCCACCGAGAGTCTGTCCAGAACAGGGATTCTGTGATGTGAACATTTGTGTTTCAAATGCCCACAAGTGACACCAAATGCCTACAACCTGAGTCTATGGTCATTTCTCTTGGTTTAGCCCCCAAGTCCCTTGAGTGAGCTTCACACCATCAGCAACACAATCCCCTTCTGGGACCATGGGTTCCTCTTCACAAAGTCAGGGCAAACTTCAGACCAACTTGACAGAGTTGTTGAAAGGTCTATTCACACCATAGGTATTTACAGGATGCCAACTATATGCTGGGTGTGGCAGACAACAGTGTAGAACTGACAACCAGACCCCCTAGAGTTTACATTGTGAGGGGGGTTAAACCCAAACTTATAAAGTCCTCAGAGCAGCACATGGCCCTTAATAGGCTCTCAGTAATGTCACTTATTTTACTGACATTTTAAATCAGTGCGTTTACAGAAATCTATCCTCTGAGAATGTTGAGGATGTTGTCTGCAATCAAATAAACTTCTGACCTCCTGTGAAGGAGGCAGAATGGTAATTATGATCCCATTTTACAGATGGGAGGTGGGAATGGGACACTTGACAGCTCAGATCTGAGGCTGAAGCTTCAGCTGAGGCTGAAACTCCAAAACTTTGGCCACCTGATGCGAAGAGCCGACTCACTGGAAAAGACCCTGATGCTGGGAAAGATTGAAAGCAGGCGTAGAAGAGGATGACAGATGGTTAGATGGCATCATCGACTCAATGGACATGAGTTTGAGCAAGCTCCGGGAGATGGTGAAGCAGAGGGAAGCCTGGTGTGCTGCAGTCCATGGGATTGCAAAGAGTCAGACAAGACTGAGCAAATGAACAACAAACAGCTCAAATCTGTTAGATGTATGCATGATCCCCCCTCCCCCCACACACACTTGACTGTAGCTGTGCCTGTAGATGAAGTACCCGGAAGCAGATTGATTCCAGAAGGATGCCTAGAATCACACAGGTGGGAAAGGCAGGTGTGACTGAACCCAAGCCTCCTGGCTGCCAGTCCAAGGTCTGTCCTCAGCCTTCAACCTGCACCCCCTGTGTTTCCTCACGGCGAGGGGGAGGTAACAACTTTCAGGTTACCATTCTGAAGTGGTACCCCGGTTCAGTTCACTTCAGTCGCTCAGTCGTGTCTGACTCTCTGCAACGCCATGGACTGCAGCATGCCAGGCCTCCCTATCCATCACCAACTCTTGGAGTTTACTCAAACTCATGTCCACTGAGTCAGTGAGGCCATCCAACCATCTCATCCTCTGTCTTGGTAAGTATTACTTACCAACCACAATGCAGGAAACAGTCCCTGCCAGACAGTTCTGGATGCTGACTTGTCTGAGGGTGAGGAAAGACAAGAAGGTATCCACTGACTTCCCTCTCAGCTTCCTGGGAAGGGGAAATGCAGCAAAGAGGGATGATAAAACCCAGCATTCTGGCACTTTCCTTGGCTTGTATCGACATGGCCAAGCCTGATCCAGTCTTGCAATCCATCACTAGGACTATTCTTGTTTTGTTAATGGTATTTTTGTTTTGAATCATAACTTGTGGGTATGACTCAGAACTGGAGGGGGGGGGCATTCTCATGGGTGATGGTTAAGGGCAGACAGCATCCCTCCCTGGTCCTCCCTGGAGGCTACGTTAGGAGGCTCTTCATGTGCCCTTCCAGAGCTAGTCTGTGCATTCACAAACACGTCTGTAACCTGCATAATGGCAAACTGGGTGTAGTGAACTTACTTTACTTCTTTTGCTGACTGTGTCTTTGAGTAATTTCTGCACCAGCCCATTTAGAGCTGCTGCATTTTCTGGTGAAGGGGGCCTGGAATTCTGCCGTGAGGAGGGGTCACAGAGCAGTTGGCAGACCCAGTAAGAAACGCATGTTCCTCCTGGCCTTGCACACATAGCATTTCATGCATGCAGTGGGCTCTCTAAAAAATTGGGTTGCTGGGTCAAAGGGCATGTGTGTTTCTAATTCAGCTAGACTCTGGATGGCACATACCCCTCCACAGGGCTGGATCCACTTTACGCCCACCAGCAGTGCAGGACTCAACTTCCTCTCAAGGATCCCTGCCGTTGGACCCACAGGTGAGAATCCCACCACCTCCTTCTCTGCTCACATCTCTTTACAGCTCCCCCTGACTTTGGCATGAAGTCCAGACCCCTTAGCCTGGGATTCAAAGCTCCAGGAGGCTGGGCCCTCATGTCTCAACTAGTCTCACACACATCCAAATGATATAACTGACTCCAAAAGGTGGTGATAAAAATGGGTGATAATCAGACCCTTTATGCATGTTATCCTATTTAATCTTCAGCATGACTCTAGTTGCCATGGCAACACCCACAGGCAGGGAAAGAGGTTCAGGCCAGTGACTCTCCCAGGTGCCCAGGGCAGGGCAGATAGGACCCCCACCTTGGGTTTCCTACTCTTTCCATCTCTCCAGCCAGCTCCCCACATCAGTAATCCTCTCCTATCCAGTACAGCCCGACTTCAGATACCCTCCTCCTGCTGGGCCAGCCCCAAATCTCCCCTGCCTCCCCCCTCCCACTCTTCCAAGGATCCAGGCTCAGCTGGCAGGAGCCCATTTGTGGGGGAAGCTCTCAGCTGATTCATTCATTCAGTGGACAGGCATTAAGACCAGGGTCAGACAGAGTGCCAGGCCGCAGGCAGCAGCTGCAGATACAGCAGTGGCTGACAATACAGACTTCAGGGAGCTCTAAGTCCATATTAAGTCCCAGCTCCTAAGTGGGCAAAGTGGCTGCAATGGTGATTGCTTTGCCTAATACTGAGGCTCTAGAATGTTCTGTGACCTGCTCAAGATCTCCAATTCTGAGATAAGTGGTGCTTGTCCTGGGTCCTTGGCCTCCCCACTGGCTGGACAGTACAGTGGTCACACCTATACCTCTACTAGAACTTTTGATCTCAGAGCCAGCTCTGCCACCTGTTAACCACATGGTCTCTTGTTCCTCAAGTTTGCTCAGCTGCAGAACTGGGCTACTAAGAGGCACTGGTTATTATAGTGCCTGGCACCCAGGAATCAGGCTATAGTTAAGAACCGCTGGTAGCCTAGCCGTTCTCAAATTCCGCACTGGAACGTGATAATCCGGTGTGCCAGTTCAACTTTAAGTTCAAATGCCACCTGCCCGCAGGTGACAGAAACACATCACCCAGGAGCAAATCACAGGGCTTATCATGAAGGGCAGGAAATGGGCTTTTTCTGCATAAAGGAAGGTTCTGGACTGAGGCCTAGATCTTTCCAGCATCAGTGTCAACATTTGCGCGGTAGACTCCGAAGCTCTGACACCCACCGACCTGGGCTCGAATCCTGGTTACGTAAGGACCCGTGGGGCCGCGTTTGAGTCACCGAATGCCCTCTGTTTTTCACTGTGGAGCACAGTCCCCGCCCCCAGGTCGCCGGTCGTTACGCGGGACAGGTGAGAACAGGTTCGCTGAGCCGGGACCTGCCCGATCGCCGCACAACGCAACAGCTCTTAAGAGCTCCTAAGAGTCGCCGGCTGACGCGCGCGCGTCCGGCCCCAGCAGCGCCTGGTGACGGCGGAGGGAGCCGGGATCTCAGACTGTCACCGGAGCCAGGGTCGGCCCTCCATCAGCACGGGCGGCCGCAGACGGCGCCGGACCCGCTCTGGGGCCGCGCTGGGGAGGGCAGGAAGTCATCGGCGCGGGGACGACGGGGACGGCAGCAGGGGGCGGACAGATGGGCACCTGCGCCTAGGGACGCGCGGGGAGCGGACCGGCCGGACGCAGGCCCGAGTCACGTGCTAGGCCCTGGGCACTGCCTCGGGCATTCACACCCGCGCCGCGGGGCCGGACTGCACCGGGACGCTCCCACCCCATCCCGGGGAAGACCCTCCAAACTCCCAAGGAGCGGGGCGCGCACGACCGAGGGGAGGGGCCGCAAGGCCAGCCACTGACCCGCAGCCTGGCCGCTGTCCCGCTGCATGTCGCCCGCCCGCCCGGGCCGCCGCCCGGCCTCGGCCCACCAGGTGCACCCGCCCAGCGCCGGCCGCTCCACCCCGCGCCCCGGGCTCCGTTTCCGACCCGCCCCGTGCGCCGTAGGCGGGCCTTCTGGAGGGAGGCGTCACTCGCTGAGCCGCTGAGAGTGCCCGGGGTGCGGGCTTTGTCTGCCCTGGACCGTGTCGCGCCGCCGGGACGTGGGCGGGCGCATGGGCTAGAGTTCCAGCTGCGCAGCCCGCTCCGGGCTCCGGGCTTTCCGAGTAGCCGGGGACTGGGCGGGGCCAGAGAAGGAGGGGCGGGGAGTGGGCGGGGCGGAGGGGTGGTCAGCCCCACCCCGCTACCGAACCCCCGCCTCGGTTGCTGCGGGTCCGTCCACCCGCCCCCTCAGTTACATAAGTGCCCCTATTTATACATCTCTGAATATTTTTAAGCCACGCAGGAATGCATACTGTATTAGCACTGTGGCGAAATTAGAAAGCTCAAAGCAGCCAGCCCCCTCTCCCTGAATCCTGCCCCTCAAAGCCAACAACCTGTTAATCCACAGAGTGCCTCCTTTAAGTTAAAAAAAAAAAAATCAAAATACACTTTCAAAGATAATTCTAAACATTTAGAGAGGGCCACGAGCTCCACCCCTTCAGTGGCAACACTTTCACATTCACATGTCTCCATCCAGCTTGTGGCAGGTGACCTGAAGGCAGTCATGAGTTCAACACACTCTGTGTGTACTTTTGAGGTTACCTATAGGAATGCTCGATCCCTGGAGTCGAAGGATGTGGGTTCAGCAGCCTACCTCTGGCTGCGTGATCTTAGGCTGGTTACTTCACCTCTCTGGGCCTCACTCTCTTCATCTGAGACGTGGAGCTAATAAATAGTGCCCATTATATAGGATGGTTGTAGGGATCAATGAGTTAATATTCCTAAAGTACATCAGAGGCACTCAACGAATGTGTTAGTTATTGTTTCTGAGGTCCTTCCTCTGTATGTATCAAGGGTAATGAGCAATAACTGTGTAAAAACATAATTTGATCTTTTCATACTCTGCACAGCTCCCCACTCCATTCCCTTATTTTTATTTTTAACCAACCAGTGGCTTCAACAAATAAGCCACTAAAGCTCTCTGTTCCTCAGTTTCTTCCTATAGAGAATAAAGATAGTATTAATAGCATCACAGGAATGTTTGAGGATTAAATGAGATGCTGTGAGGAGTATATAGACTTGCTGAGAACCAAGCCTGGTGTGTATTTCCTAGCTAATAACATAAATAGCGACTCTTAGCTGGTGTTGTCCATGTCCACAGGGAAGCCCCAGGGCTGAGTGAACCTGGGCTGGGACTCCGAGCAGGAAAGGAGTCCAGGAATCCAGAGTGCCAGTCCTTCTTTCACCAGTGGAGGAAACTGAGTCCTGGACAGGGAACGTGGCTTCCCCAAGTGATGGTCCTTCCCCCTCCCCATCCATCTTCTCAATTCAGTCTAATTAAATGCAGTAAATGCAGGATGAGATTCCCCTCCTTGCAAAACTGAGTTAAGAATACTCTCTTAAATCCTTGTGATTAGCTAAGAAAACTATGAAACAGAAGAACGTTCAAATGAAATTTATATTTTCATACATTAGACTACATAAAGCCTCTGGAATCTAATCAGTAAAGTGTTGATAGAGGAATGGTTAAATATGTTAAATCCCAGAACACATATTAGGTTAATTTATGACAAACATAATTAATTCAGAAAAATAGAATTATTAATCAATACTATTAATTGGCTAACCATCTGAGAAGAAAAAGGATGGACTTCAATCTAATTTCAAATACAAAAGTAAATTCTAGATGGATTATAGACCTAAATTAATAAAGTGAACAATAAAAATAATACAAGACATTGGGATCCCAATAGCATGATCAGCTAGACAGCTCAACTGGAATACCCTCCCAGATGAAAGTACTGAAATGGAGGATTATTTATAATAAAAGGCTCTCCTGAACCCACAGGGAAATACCCAACAACCACATCTCCAACACAAGAAAAGAATAATCAGCCCAAGCTAGAGTGGTTATTAACACAGACGTCTGAGCTCCACTGTGTACAACCACCTACAACATGAAGTTCAAGTTTTAGGAACTCATGCTGGTACACTGGACCAATGAAAAAAAATCTGCTCATATCTGCTGCGTCTGGGAGGAAAAACCACAAATGATACAAATGATAGTCTCTCCTGATCATTTGAAGCCAGAGGACAGCTCCCGTGTGTGTCTGAGTTTCAAACTTGCCCTGTCCCCAAGGTAAACATCAAACTAAATTAAAATAGTTGTACGTTAGTATTGCCCCTTGGTGGTGCTAGTGGTAAAGAACTCGACTACCAATGCAGATGTAAGACATGCAGGTTTGATCCCTGGGTGGGGATGACCCCTGAAGGAGGGCATGGCAACCTACTCCAGTATTCTTGCTTGGAGAACCCCATGGACAGAGGAGCCTGGCAGGCTACAGTCCATGGGGTCGCAGAGTCAGACACGACAGAGTGACTTAGCACAAGCGCACATCACCCCTGGAGCACAAAATAAGCAGATACAAATGCTTTCTGGAGAAAAGGCATTTCCAATCTGGGCCCTTCACCATATACCATATATGAGCTCATAATAAAAATTACCAGACACAAAAAAATAATGCAATATAAGTGAGAGTCTGCAGTTCAGTTCAGCTCGGTCATGTCTGTCTCTTTGCAACCCCATGGACTGCTACACACTAGGCTTCCCTGTCTATCACAGTCTCCCGGAGCTTGATCAAACTCATGTCCATTGAGTTGGTGATGCCATCCAACCATCTTGTTCTCTGTCATCCTCTTCTCCTGCCTTCAGGCTTTCTTGGCATCAGGGTCTTTCCCAGTGAATCAGTTCTTCTCATCAGGTGGCCAAAGTATTGGAGCTTCAGCTTCATCATTGGTCCTTCCAACGAATGTTCAGGACTAATTTCCTCTAGGATTGACTAGTTTGATCTCCTTGCAGTCCAAAGGACTCTCAAGAGTCCTCTCCAATACCACAGTTGGAAAGCATCAATTCTTCGGTGCTCAGCTTTTTTTATGGTCCAAATCTCACATCCATACATGACTACTGGAAAAACCATAGCTTTGACTAGATGGACCTTTGTCGGCAAAGTAACGTCTCTGCTTTTTAATATGCCATCTAGGTTGGTCATAGCTTTTCTTCCAAGGAGCAAGTGTCTTTTAATTTCATGGCTGCAGTCACCATCTGCAGTGATTTTGGAGCTGAGGAAAATAAAGTCTCTCGCTGTTTCCATTGTTTCCCCATGTATTTGCCATGAAGTGATGGGACTGGATGCCATGATCTTAGAGAGTCCGCAGTTAACATTAATTTAGGATCCTCAAGTATTTCTGAGAGTAGACAATTAAATCACAGACTAAAATTAATCATGTATAAACATAAAATTTTTAAAGAAATAAAAACAAAATAAAAAGAGTTCAAAGATCAAAATCAAACAAAATGATCAGGAACATTTGAAAAAGAACCAACCAAAGCAAGCTGAAATAAGAAATATAATCACAAGAATAAAAGCCTCAATTGATGGATCAAGCAGATCACTTGTCTGAAGATACAATTAATTAACTGAAGGACAGATTTCAGGATGTTACCCAAATGCAGCTCAAAGACAAGGAAGTGACAAATAGGAGATAGAGTTCTGAAGACACACATAATAGAATGTAAAAGTCTAATCTGAAAAAAGTGAAAAAGCCTCAGTGACTTGTGGGTTATCAAATGGCTATATAATTAGAGTATTGGAAGAAGTACAACAGGAAATAATATGTAAAGAAATAACAGTAAAAAATTTAAATTTGATGAAAATTACAAACACAAAGATCCAAAAATATCAACAGACCCCAAGAAGCGCACACACCACACACACACACACACACACACCAACCCATGTCTGACATTGCTGAAAATCACTAATAAAAATGATAATCTTAAAAGCAGTCAGAGAAAATATAACATCAAAAGAAAAGCAAAGGTCGAAGATCTACACTACCTGAATTTTCAAGATTCAGTGTGAAGTCTGTGGTTTTGGCATCAAAGACAGACAAATAGGTCAATGGAGCAGAATAGACTCCAGAAATAGACTCACACATTATGTGGTCAATTGATTTTTGACAAAGGTGCAAAGAAAATTCTGTAGAGAAGATAGTATATTCTCCTCAACAAATGGTACCAGAACAATTGGATATCTATATAAAAATGAATTGTGATCCATACTTTGAACCATGTGAAAATTACCTCAAAACAGATCATAGACTTATGTAAAAATAAAAATTATAAAAATTCCAGGAGAAAACATCAGAAAAAATTGCTGTGATTTAGGCTTGGGCATAGATTTTAGGTACCAAATGCATGAGAGGTTGTTTGCTCAGGCGTGTCTGGCTCTTTGAGACCCCATGAACTGTAGTCCACCAGGCTCCTCTGTCCATGGAATTTTTCAGGCAAGAACTCTGGAGTTGGTTGCCATTTTGTACTCCAGGGGATCTTCCCAACCCAGGGATCAAACCGGCATCTCAAGTCTTCTGCACTGGCAGGCAGATTCTTTACCACTGAGCCACCAGGAAAACCCAATACCAAAAGCATATGACATTGATAAAACAGGGAAAAGACAAATGACATACTAGGAGAAACTGTATGATTATATAAATAAATGTGTATCAACTCTTTCAAGAAAACAAACCCATTTAAAAACATCAAAAGATTTAAATAGACACTTTATAAGAAGACATATTGACAGCAAGTAAGCACATGAAAAGATGTCACAGCATTAATCATGCAAATAAAAAATGAAAATTAAAGATCCAATGCCCTACCACTACACACTTATGAGAATTCTAAAATTAAAAAGGCAGACCATGCCAGGTTTTGGCCAGGATGTGGAGGAACTGGAGCTCTCATATACTGCTGGTGGGAATGTAAAATGGTACAACCACTTTAGAAAACAG